TGTGAGCTGCTCTTTTACGTCTGGCTTCAAGTCAAGATGATCTCATAACTTTACACTAAAACATGTTTTTCTTTTAAAACCAGCTTCTGTGTGGAACTCACACTGACTTCTTTAATCTGATCTGTGACCTCAAATGTTCAAAGTTGGCTCCAGCATAATGAATATAACTAACATGACATTATAACCCGTCAGGTCAACAGATTTGTTTTTGTTCCTGCTTTGATTCAGACTTCACTCGATGGTGAGGAAAGAAAGGCATTGTTACAATACTCCCCCCATGTGGTCAAAAGCACACAAAGCATTACATTTATGCATTTTATGATGTGAAAAAGGTAAAAAATATATATATTTTTTAATTTTAATATAAGATTTTTAAAGCACCATGAAAATGAGATTTGGGGACAAGTCTTCCAGAACTCTTATGTAGGTCAGTGGTTTCCAGACTTCTCAGCTTTTGTTACCTTGGCTATCCGTCAAAGCAGATGGCCGTTTGTCCTGAGCCTGGTTCTGCTGGAGGTTTCTTCCTTTTAAAAGGGAGTTTTTCCTTTCCACTGTTGCCATTATGCTTGCTCAGGACGGGAGACTGTGACAAAGTGAAGATTCAATGAGTCTGCTTCCTTAGAGAACTTTACTAACTGGCGTTTCTCTGTGAATGTTCATGTAAAGTGCCCTGAGACAACTTTGTTGTGAATTGGCACTATATAAACTGAAACAAATCTCTAATCAACCATTTTTCAAAGAACCTTGTTTACATTTTTATTATTTTTCATTTATGTATAACCAGTGTTTTTATCTCTAAGTAACAGTTAAGGCTAATGTCATTGGCAAAGTTTTTTTTTCCGCCCCAAGTTAATCGAGTTTCCTCAAATACCCCTTCTTTGGTGTTTCATGATCCACAACGACCAGTGATTCGATTCTCGTTAATTTGAATTTCAGATAATAAAGTATCACAGTATGTGCACCCCTCGCCCACACACACATACAGACAAAACAAATTTAATAACAGAACAAAACAACCAGCAAGTGGTGACGATGGAGTCAAATATTACCTTTAACAATCAATAAGGAGTTTTAAATGGAAACTAAAACCCTTCACTTCTGTAACTTCTGCCATTTTCACCTGATGTGTTATTGCTTTCATGCACAAACCTGAAATAAAAGTCCAACTACTGAGTATTCTCAAAAAGACAGGTGGTATGTGTAGCTTGACCGGAGGACCCACCTATATGACATATAAAACTACTGTCTTATTCAAGCAATAACCATAAGGCTGACATAATCAGGACAATTCCACCATTCACATTGATGAACATATAAACAACAATATATCTTTACAGGTGGTGGGGGTACTGAGTGAGTGTATGTATATATATGTAAAGACAGACAGACAGACAGACAGACAGACAGACAGACAGACAGACAGA